GTTAGGCTTCCAAATCACCAGAGGCGCTGTGGTAATGGTTTAGTGGATTATTTAGGGAGATTTCGTTCTATCTTGTATATTATTTTTTCTATGTTCTAGACCAGTATTCGGGTCGTGTTCTTCATGCATCATCGATCGTTGAGCGATTAGTCACGTGTTATGTGCGATTAGTTATCATAGTGATGGGCAGAATCGAGTATTTTTAAGAATCGAAAACTCTGTACACGAATACTTTTAAGAATCGAATGATTATCCGAGAACCGAGTACCGGACCGAGATCGAATGAGTATCCGAGAACAGGACTCGAGAACAGTGGCAATGCGGAATCGGTGTATGTCGTCGACACGGTGTGGATTCGAATGCATCATTGGGATATTTTTATTCGTACTCGCATCGACGGTAGTTTAGCAGTTAGTAATTAAAGGAAACCTCGCAACGAACGAGAGATGTGGTTTGTTTCACGGAGCATTTTCCGTTATTAAATATTGATGTTTTTAGTTATTTTATAATTATTGGATTTTTATTTTTAAAATGAAAATGGCTGCAAATCATTAGTTTGGGATTTTATTTAAAAAAAAAGTAATAAATAAATAAGTAAAAAGTTTAAATTATTTGACAATACAACAAATCTTTAAAACATTCAATTTTGGCCTCTAAAGCACATCCGCCTAGTGTCTAGTCCATCTATCTGCCTGTCCTGAGAGATACTCGAAATCTCATCATGAATTCTCAAGTATTTGAATGCCGGCATAAAAGTTCTCGAGTACAGCGAGAACTTTTAAGAATCGAATGGATATCGATTCTTGCATTCGAATTCTCCCATCACTAGTTATCAATTTTATTTCTGATCCACAACAGTACAATACAAATTAATCAAATTATAGTAAGAATATATTTACATTTGTATAATCTGTGTTTACTGTCTGAATATATTTAATTACTGTAGCATTATCTATAGAAAAAGAATTGTATTTAATACAATTTCACAATACATTTATTACAGTTTCACTGATTCTTTTCACCTTGTAGAATACTAAGAAGTGAAAGTAATATATTATCTTAGGTATGATAACGATTTGATAAATGAGTTCCACTAAACACTAAACGAAAACGCTTTAGAATTTAAAATTCCCGCAACTTTTTAATATTACGTAACTTTTGGCGCGTCTGTTCAGCGCCCTCTTAGCGAATGTCAGGTGTCAAGAAAATTTGTTCAGCGGCAGCATGGATGCAAGTTAACAAGTCGTTTTTCTGCCGGCACCATTAATATTGTAGTTTCACGTTTGTTTTGTTAAAAGACTTAATATATTTCAAAAATGGGTTCTTATTTATCCACACCTGTTACTAAGAAATTTTCGAGTGACGAAGTGAACGATAAATTGAAGTGTGGTTCCAGTTCAATGCAAGGCTGGCGCGTAACCCAGGAAGTATGTTTATATTTCATTGATAATTATTTATTTTAATCACGCCTGTGTTATTCCAGGACGCACATAATTGTATATTAGGTTTTGATGCAAACACATCATTCTTTGCTGTCTATGACGGGCATGGAGGCCACGAAGTAGCCCAGTATTGTTCGGAGAATCTTCCACAGTTTGTCAAAGATACTCAGGCTTATAAAGACGGTGATATAACTAAAGCATTGATAGAAGGTTTCCTGGGGTTCGATGCTACCATCGCAACTAAGAAAGTAGTAGATGTATTAAAAAAAATTGCTGGAGATAAAGAAGCGACAGAGGGAAGCGACGATGAAGAGAATGTCGATAATTTATACGAAGAAGCGGCTATGCCTATTGAGCAAGTCATTGAGAAGTATACGAATTTGGTAAACCCAGCACACAAAGCCTTAAAGAAAGCAGATAGTGATAAGTTCCCAAAATCGCCGTTTTTAAAGGCAAAGAAGGAAGGTGAGTCCTCGGTGGCCAGTTCAAGTTCTGAGGCTGATGATTCTAAAGTAAATTCTTCGGAAGGTTGTGCTAGTAGTACCGATGAAGTTAGTAGTTCATCTAACTACTTAAATGAGGCCAAAACTGCATTGGATGTGGAAGGTGAAATTATTGTATATAATAATAAAAGTTACTTGTGAATATTTTCTGTTTTAGACCAACCGGAAAAACATTCTGAAACTAACGGTTCCGTACCTGAGGGGAAAGTAACTTCGTCAGATAGTCCCGATTGTAAAGAAGCGGCGGTGGCGCCATCGAATGCCGATTCAGAATTGAAAAAAGAGGAAATACCAGTTTCTTCTCAGAACGGAGAAGTGTCTGAGTCGGACTCAAAGGATGATGTCACTAGTTCTTCCGTTTCCCAAGAAAACGGGGAGGTGACTTCGAAGGGTAAAGGTAAAGCCTTGGCTAAAACGAAAGTGTCGAAAACCCCAGTGAACGTGAGGCCCAAGAGGAATGCGAAGCAGCTCTATAAAACGTTGCTCGACTTCGGGGAAGACAGCGAAGACACGGAGGATGAGGAAGATAAAAATTTCGAGGGACCGAACGGTAAGTCAGAATTGATATTTTTAAAAACTTGTTTTATCCGAACTGATTTTATAAAATGTCCTTAAATATCGTAACGTTAACGGGAATTTAATCTTCAGAATTTAAATGTTATGTCTACGGAAACAAATTAGATTGATACATTTTGAAATAACGAACTTCAAGAAAAAAATGATTAAAACATTCCCTTACTTTGAATTGTCAGTGGAATCAAATGTTGCTGTGATTAAATTGTTTATAGAGTTTTAAGTAAGTGTGTATTCTCATTGGAACAGGCAATTTTTTTGTCATAATTTTCTTGGAAATCCCCAAAAACAAGTGACAACAAAATTTTTATAAACATGTTTATGAGAACAATGAAGTACTAGATATGATTTATTTACGGGGAGTGTCATCAAAGTGCGGCTGCTGCTTCTCGCTCATATGAAGAACGCTAACATCAACCTTGTATATAACCAGTTATTTTCTGAACTCAAATCATTATTCACTACAAATTTGGAGGGCGCCTAAAATAATAAAAAAAAAAAAATCATTTCTTACAACTGGTTTGTACATTATTAAATACAAGGAGACAAATTTCTGTATCTGGACTTCTGCTGAAACAAAAAGTGTTACAAGCTGGTCAAAACTTGCGGCTTCAAAGTTTCCAACAATTGCTTGGAAAAATTTCGTCCCAAGCATAAAATTTCCTTTAAAACTGTGTGTAGTGAATATACTTATGTAAACTTTCAAAATGATGACGACTGGAAAGCCAAGTTGCAATCAATATTGAGAGACTTCGCTCGAAAAAATAATTTTAATGCGAAACAGACCTTTTGTTTCGTGCAATTCCCACAAAAACATTTGCGTTAAGAAATGGTCAAGGAACAAACATGGAACGAGATAAGTAAAACTTGTTGGTTATTGACCCTATGAAAAAAACATGGATGACTTTGGATTTTATGTCAACAAGGTTAAGAAACTTTGACAAGAACATGAAAAGAGAAAAGAGAAATCTACTAATGGATAATAAATACACTAAAACTGCTGTATCGTTTCCATTGCATCACAAGCAATATTCGTATGAACTAAGACGAAAAATCCTAATCAAATTAGTCACTGTTTTCATATAATTGAAATGTCATCTTGACAATTCCCAAATTTTGATATCTCCTAAATTTTAATACTGGTTACGAAAATATGCCAAAAAATCGATATTTCAACGCTCGGAAAATATAAACAATAGTTAGTATTTTGACGCGATCGAAATCACTCTAAAAATTTTTTTTTTTTATTTTCGGCTCTCTTTTGTTTTAACTGCGGTAGTCAAACTACAGTCTAAACTAATACTCAACAAATGTCACCTATTTTCTTCCACTCTAATACACATAAAATATTGGAACGATTGTCTGTGATAGATTGAGACTATGAAGACATGTATACCATCATTGATCTCTTTTTGGCGCATTTAACAAATAATGAATTCACATCTGCAATGACTGCCTTTGGTATTAGGAGACACTCGTGACGTAATGGCAATTTTAAAACGGTTTTAGTGTATATTGAATCCTCACTGTGTTTATCTCAAAAGCCGTGAAGCAAAAAAAAATGTTTAAATTACACATTTTATGTCTTTGGTCAGTTATTCAGACAAGATTTGAGAATTTCAGGTTATAACCTGTTTTTATATTCTCTTTTAATGGGTTATAATCTATCGAATTATTTTGACATTTTTTGGGATAGTTTCTTTGCTTTGAAGTTTACGTCGCAAAAAGATTTTGGCATTCACCGAAGAACCTTCAGAACGTTTCAACCTAAAATTCTCAAAATTTAATGAGTAACATAAAATGACTAAATTATTTTGCTTCTCAATTTTTTAGATAAACTCAGTCAAGGTCCAAGGTAAGGGTTCAATCAACGCATTAACATGGATTTCAATATGTGGGTTGCTTTCGCTGTACAGCAAAAATAAAACGCTCTCTCAAGGGTACAAATAAAGTATTTTTATTGAAAACTAAGCTTGTGGAAAAAGAGGTGTTGTCGGTTCGAATGTTTGCAGGAGAGTCCTTGTGTGTGGAGTCGGTCGTCGGTATATGAGTAAGCATCTGGTCGCCGGCGCCAGTCCGCCGTAGACCCTTCCTGCGACGTCCTGTTGGCGCTCTTGACCTAATGCTTAAAAATGGGTCACTTGCGAACATGTGTGTGTACCCATAAATAGTTTGTAACAAATTTTTGCATGTGACGGTAAAAAACTGTGGATTTAACCTGTAATATAAATGGATGTGATGTGAATGATGAACCATTAAGGAAAGTAAGGAAAAAAAGCATATTTTTACTTCTTATGTTTGTTTTATGTTTTTATCATTACATTTCTCGAGCTTTACACGCCCTTTAAATATTCAGAAAATGCTTTTTTGGAACTATTAACATATGAATTAATCGTAATTATTGAGAATTTTTACAAAATTCTCGACAGAAAAGGAAAGGTATATTCCGATGTTTACATGGGTGCCCATGGTTTCCGTGATCTTTTACTGTGAAAAATTAAAGAAATTCCTGTATTTCAGCATTTTTATAGTTTAGAGATGAATTTTCTTATTGTTTTACTAAAAGTGTGATTGATTGTCTATAAAACGCAAACGTTAACATTTTTATTTTGTTATTTAATAACTGAAATTCCAAATGTCTATTATCGATTGAATTGAATCGAAACTGAGATTGAAGGAGAGGAACTTGTAACTACTATTTCAAATTCGCCAAGAATATTTCTCAAGCTACACTTGAGATCAGAAATATTTAATAACAAAATGAAAAAAAAAATAAAAATGACCGAGATTTAAAGATTAATTCACAGAAGCGGGTCTACTCTAGTAGATTTTACGTGTACGTATTTTCAAATATCTGTAGGGGTTTTAAAATGTTAAAGCTTGATACTATTGGTTTTTCTTCCATGTACGAATGTACCTATATATTTTTAATTACATTTATGATAGGTTTATGGTGTTTTAATTTTTCTTTTACATATTTTGATAATATAATGTAACACACTTCATTCTGCTGATAATATATTAAATAAAATTAAACGTGTCTTATATCCATCGTTTAACTCCTCTAAATAACGGACACTTCTATATACTCAACATTTTAGGATTCTCTGTGCTGTATTAGAAGAATACATCATACATGTTACATGTTACCCCTTTGTCGTTCTCGCGAATTTATTTCCTCACATAGTTTGTTAACTGACTTGACGTCCTTTTATTATAGTAGACGGTAGTTCTGACGACGATGACGAGGACGGCGTGAACGCCGCCATAGAAGTGGAGGGATCGGAAGAGAGTTCCGCGGAAGAAGAAGGAGACGAAGAGGAGGACGAAGAAGACATCGACGACGAGGACGAGGAGGACCTCGAGTTCGGAAATAACATGAAAGAAGAGCCCGGATCTGATAGTGGCTGTACGGCCGTCGTGGCCCTGTTGAGGGGAAACGAACTGTACGTGGCCAACGCTGGCGACTCGAGGTGCATCGTTTGCCGGAATGGTAAGTTCCAAATAAAGTTTATCCTGTTTTGACGAGGTTGTGAGAGTAAATAACAATTATTTTTCAATCTCTGTTTCAACGTCGCCTTTAGGAAAAGCTGTGGAGATGAGTTTCGATCACAAGCCGGAGGACGAACCGGAAAGGGCACGGATAGTGAAGGCCGGCGGTAAAGTGACGACCGACGGTCGCGTGAACGGAGGACTGAATCTATCGAGGGCCATCGGCGATCACGCTTACAAACAGAACAAGGAGATGTCGGATAGGGAGCAGATGATCACGGCTCTGCCTGACGTGAAGTCGTTGACGATAAATCCGGGCGAGGACGAGTTTATGGTACTCGCCTGCGACGGCATCTGGAATTTTATGTCTAGTCAAGAGGTTGTCGATTTCGTCAAGCCCAGGATAGCGGCGTGCGAGGATCTGTCCCACATTTGTGAGGAGGTAGGTGTAATTTTTTTTACGCGGTTGTACTTTTTTTTAAACTTGAAACTTGTTTTGCACCAGAACAATTTCTTAATTGTTACAATTTATTAATTTAATTTTATTATTAATTATTTTAGATTTTATATGATGGATGGTATAAAAAAATATATATCTGATTAGTTATCTTACATTTTATACATTTTTCTCTTATCACAGGTAGTAATCGGAGATTATTGATTGTATTAAAAAAAAATGTTAATCAAAATTGAAAAATTTTAATTTAAACATAGCGGTAGATATATGGCGAGCTGATTTTACCAATCTCGGAAAGTTTTACATATTCTCCCAAGGGACAGACAAAAAGTAGTTCAGATGTCCCAGCTTCGATTTTCGAGAAAAATTAAAATATCAAAACTATATTTTATTATTTCAATTCGCTTAAGAAATTATATAATTTTGGACATTTTTTAAGATAATAAGTTTTTTTTTATTTGAAAATAAATGATTTTGTACACGATTGATTTACATATACTTTTTCTCAAATATCATATGACACTTCCTTTGGCAAGAAAATTTTGTTTAAAAAAAATAAGTTGGGGTTCCAAAAATAAACGAGACGTTTTAAAAGTGTGTTGAGTATTTAAACGTCAAAAATGTAAAATTACGCAAATAAAAATGTTCAACATCACAAATAAGGATGGGATCTTTGATAGACGGACCAGGATGAAGTTTTCGTCATGCACGTTTCTCAAAAATCGAGCATGAGACATTTGAACTACCTTTTGGTTGTCTCCATGGGAAACACGAAAAATCTACCAAATGTGTTCAAATTGGACCACATTGTCCAAAAACAATACTCATTATTTGATCACATTTTTCAAAGGTTTTTCGGATTCCTGAGGTAATAGTTTTTTTTTACTTTAAAAATATTTGATTTTGTACGCGGTTGATACAGATACTTTTTTCAAATATTACATATGACACATCATTTGTAAGAAAATTTTGTTTAAAAAAAAATTTAATAAGTTGGGGGTTCCAAAGAATGAGACGTTTTAAAAATGTATTGAGTACATAGAAGATAAAAATGTAAAATTTACGCAAATAAAAATGTTCAACATCACAAATACAGCCCAAAATTGTTAACTTACTTTGACAAACCAACAAACAACAAACAAGACATTTGAACTACTTTTTGTCTATCTCCTCGGGAAACACGAGAAATCTTCCAAACGTTTTCAGAGGACCACCAATCAACAAAGCACATTATTTGATCGCATTTTTGGATGGTTTTCGGATTCCTGAGATAGGTAAAAAGTAGTTCGGATGTCTCATTTTCAATTTTCGAAAAAAAATTAAAGTTGAAAACTGCATCTTTAAATCTCAATTCGTTGAAAAAATTACAGTTTTGGCTATTTTTTAAGATACTGGTTAACTTTTTTATATGAAAATTTTTTATTTCGTAAAGCGGTTTTCTATCTAGCTGTTTTGATGTACACCGTTGAATTACAAAGATATTTTTTTTCACATATTGACACTTTATTTGTTAGGAAATTTTTTGTATTAAATAAAATATGTCGGGGTTCCGAAGAAAAACATAAAGTTAAAAATATTTTGAATATATAACTGAATTTTTCACAAAAAACTGTAATAATAGTAATATAAATTTTTTGCAAATAATACTTCAAAAACTACTTTTTTCGTTGTGCAGTTTTTCTCAAAAACCGAATCTGGGACGTTTGAACTACTTTTTGTCTGTCTCCTCGTTAAACACGAGAAATCCTTCATAAGTGTTGAAACTGACATTGAAGTTTAATTACATGTACAGAGTGTGTAAAGAGCTCCAAGCATACAGGGTGTCCAGAAAATGATGGTAGTCTCTACGTACTAATATTAATTAATATTTGAATAAATTGAGCAAATATTATTTTTTTTTAGAAACAATAGAAAATGTTATTAATGTTTGGCACTTTGTATAAATGTGTGCTATTTGTATAGTACCTTTTTTCAAGCACAAAATTGCTTGTTGTTTTGGACTATTTCGTATTTGTTATAATTTTCAGGATATTTTGAGAAAGTAGTTCAAATGTCTCAGGCTCGATTTTCCAGAAAAAGGTTCAGTTCACTGAAGAAATTACATTTTTAGCGTGTTTCTTAAAATATTTTGAAATGATTTTGTTGGCATCGATGTAAAAAAATGCTGACTTGAAAATAACATGTTACAGTAATTCAAAAGCGATTTGTTTTTACAAAATTATCTCCGCTCCGTTAATTTCATACAGTTGATATGAAAAGGTAGCAACAGGCACTTATAAGAATGCACATACAACCTGGTTTGGGAACTGCTCAGTGACGGCGTAGACGAGAATGTAAAAATCGAGTGTCTGATTGATTAAAAAAAATAATTTCTGATTCTACCCCGACCCCGCACTGAAAGTTACAATCCGTATAATACTTACAACAAATAAACAATTTATGTGTCAATTTTAACGGTAACTTTTCCCCACAGATGTTCGACCACTGCTTAGCGCCGGACACAATGGGTGACGGCACGGGTTGTGACAACATGACAGCTATAATAGTACAGTTTAAGTCTAATATTCTTAAAAGGTCGGCCGCCCCGGAGCCGGGCGAGAGTGATCCGAAAAGGGCAAAGACTGAAGAAAATGAGTCACAGATCGACACTACAGCGTGAACCATTCGTTCTTTTTTTTTATACAATAATAGGTTAAAGAACAGTATGTTTATGTTATTTCACATTATTTCAAGTATTTTTTAAAGGATAGTGTAAACTTATTCTCCGTTTAGTTTCAGTTCTGTTTGTCCGCTGTGGGGGTAGTTTTATTTTTCACGATATTCGGTACAGGTACGCATACAAAAGCCTTGAAAGAAACACGCGAGTTTGGATCGAGGGAGAAGCGAACTAGTTTTTACAGACCTGCGAAAAGATAAAAAAATATTTTTGTATCATTTTTCTGATTGCCTGGATATCGCTTCGTTTTTTTTTGTAAATTAAAATGTAAAAAGAGGCACAAAGAAACATTTTAATATGCAATATTTACACTTATAATCCACAAGGTCGTTCGAATTAGGGCAAAGTTGCGAAGTTTAATGACTAATAACGTGTCAAAAAATTAAACGCTGAAAATTTTGATTTTTGTTTTTGTGTTTTTAATCAAAAAATGGAAAGAGGTGCATTTTGTAAACCTGAAACATCTTTAAGACACTTCTTTGCTTGGCATTCAAATATGGCAGAAGGCGAAGTACCATTCAACTTTTTTTATGGCCATTGTATTGGATTTTCGCATTTTTTAATTCAGCGAAATTTTGTGATTACGACGATACCTCATACGTTGTGGTAAACTTCTTTGATTTCCTTAAAATACCAAATTATCCATTTTCACAAAGAGTGCTTTGGCAGCAAAACAACTGACCACTACTTATAGGGAAATATTGACAGTTCCGTTAAATTTTCTTTGACAATTATCAAAGATTAAGATGATTAAAGTTGCAATTTTCACATGAAGGACAATATGTGTTTCAAATATATTGATTAATTAATTTAAAGAATATTTCGTGTAAATTTCATTTTTTATTATTTGAACTTTGATGAACTTTGGTCATTGATGAAAATTTAACGGAACTGTCAAAATTTCTTTCATTTGTTTTCAAAGCACTATGAATCTTGACAATTTTGTCAATTGAAGTAAACCAAATGACACCACACCCATAACAAAAGCAAAAGATGTACGTCAGGTAGGCGCAATGACTAATATGATTGCATGTTTTATTTATTTAAGTATCTTGACAATGTCCGTGTTTAAAAAATTATACCCCTTTTCGTTTTCGATTCAAAAGAAATGAAAAATGAAATTTTAAATTTTTCGTCAATAACTTCAAAGGACCCTGTATATTGTGAGAAATAAATATTTATCAGTTTGGACTTAATCAGTATATTAAATTCGATTAACATAAAATTTAAATCGATTGAAATAACGAATTAGGAAATTTAAAAAAAAATTGATACTTAAAGCAAATTTGTATGCAAGTTTTCAAGAAATTTACGAAATGTTTTATTTTTGACTTTTTCAACTGACGAAAATGCTCTATTGTATTTTATTTGTTTGAGTTATTTACGATGCCTTTTTCCTAGGAATAAATTTTTACAGTTGAATAATACGAATCAAAAATATCAAGTAAGACACCAATTTAGAATTTTTTTGTGCCGCACAATTCTAATGATTTTTTATTTTTTTGATACATTGCAAGCCTCTACACTTATCAAAATAGTTGGCTATGGACTGTCGATGTTTTTTAAATACAATTTATCGGATAATCAAGGGACATATTTTTATAAAAAATCCGGGTGCATAAACTCGATCAGCATCATTTAAAACCCCTGCATATCAAATATCAACAGTTTATAATGCAGAATAATATTTTTATACCTCCTAAAACTTTCTGACATCACTAAGTTTTTTTGCTCTGAAATCAGAGGAGCTGATTGGCTGAATTTAAACCTCTGCCATGAGTTTTAAAATCCAACCAATCGACTGCTCTCATTTCAGGTTCTAATGTGACAATCGCAAGCAGAAGAATCCGCCTATTATGTCAGTCATAATCAGCTGTGTCAGATGAACGATTGTTCATCTTCATTTGTTTCCAGTGCCTCCTAGATTTTTAAACTGAAATAGAAACAAATTTAAAACTTTTAGGTCTATAAAATAGTTATTCTGTGTTTTAAACTAGCGAAATTTAATATACTTTAAAGATTATTGCCGGTTATCGCTATCAAAGCCTTCTGTGTGAATTTTTCATGCGCTGCCTGGTCAACCAGATATTGTGGGAAATACGAAACCTAGTTTAAGTTTAGTTTAGAGATAACTTACAGAAGAATTGGTTTGTTTTTTTATGTGTAATTGAGCATTTTATGATCGCATAGAAATATTCTGACCATTATGAAAAATTCAGTGAAATACCCTGTAAATATTAAACGACTATAAAACAATGTGTGAGATCGTGTAAATAATTTTGAACTTTTTTCATAAAATGCTCCGAGCCCAGCTTCACGAATTAATGGTTAACGTTTCCTTTCTAAACGCCATGGTAGAGGTGCCTTCAGTTAAAGAACACTGTGGTGGTTTAATTGTAATTTGTATCATTATAATTTTATTTTGCCCTAGACGGTCGTTTCGGTTTCCTTGGCGTTTTAACAGGCGAGCCAGTGATTTTTGTATACCAATAAAGAAGTTCTCTGTATATTTATTTTTGACAGTCTTTTTTTTAAGGATTTAATAAATATCTTGTACATTAGTAATACAATTTATTTTTATTTAGCATTGTATTATCTGTTATAATATTAATATACCACAATAAATTATTTAATAGATTTTTAATAATGCATTAGTTGATTTATCACTTCGTTTTGTTCCATTTCCGTTTTTTGTAGCGAGTTCAACTGAATTTTTAACCTCTCCAGCTCCATTGATTTTTCAGTGATTAACGCCTAAAAATCGGTAAAAAATTTAACTAAAAGCGAACCATATTCAGTACATTTTTAAAAACCTGTAACTGCTGTTGATTATTTTCTTTTTGTTTTTCCATGCTCTGCAATATATTTCTTGCTCCTATCGCCTTAATTTTTTGTTTTTCAACTTCTTTACCTAGTTCTTCAACCATAGTAATAAACTTATTAGCTATTTTCTGGAACTCGTCTATTTCTAAAAGGTCAAATTTTAGTTCGATCAAATAAAATTTGAAATATTCCAAAGATTTATATATTCCTTTTTAATTACTTTCTGCATAAATCTGGCACTCTTCTTTTAAATCGTTTGTTAACTTTGACACTTCGGGTTCCAAAATACATATTTTATCAACTTCATCAAAAAAAATTCCTGATTTATTTAATAAATCGGACATTTTCAAATGTTACTGTTGTCAAAATATTGTTTCCATGGTAACTTATTTGGCAGTTTTGACCACTGGGCGTTTTCCACCTACCTATTACCCGGTACAGAGCGTTTTCCTTTATACTTTAAAAATGTGTTCTGTGGTGTTGGTAAGCTGAAAAGAAACAGGCTCTGAGTAAGTAAATTATAGGTATGTTTCAGCAGATGCTAAGGATTTATTTGAAACTATCAGAGATATTTGGCCAATCAATTCTTAAACATATACACTTATACACAATTATGTAACGACTTAAGTGGTCGAGTGTATCTGATAGTTTGAGACTCTTGCAGAAACAACCTTATAAGTATTGTTAATACAATTGGCTAATTGCCATTTTTATTACATACCTAGATTTTTACTCACTAGAAAAATCGTACCACATTGATACTACCACAAAATATGTATATGAATTTCTATTTCAAAGAATATTTCGTGTTTAGAAAAATAAACTGACCGCACATACCACATACTGTCTCGTGCCTATGCTTGAAAATTTTCAGCAATAGGTAGGACACTCGAGAGGTGCTATCTACTTCAGTTATTTCTCGCTTGAATCCACCCAAAGACAAGTATTTTTATGTCAAAGTTGAAGAACAGTTTGTTAGTGTATGCAGAGATTCGCTCGGTAATTAAATTTTCATAAATTGCTTCATGACGTCATTAATGAAAATCTGTAACACAGTAAATTCGCTGTGTAGTAAAAAAATGCCTACAGTGAATGTCAATTGTCAATTGTCAAATCTTTTTTACGTGTTCCGTGCCGTGTTGTCATTTTCGTTTTAGAATTTTAGAAGGCTGTGGCTGTGGTCTTGAAATGACTATTTTGAAAAATATGTTGTAAGTTTGTACGCAAAATACAAAATAGTGTGAATATTCAGCCATCTCCATTTTTTAATTAGTAGAATTCTGAATGTTTAATTCGGAAATTAGTATCATGTCTGGAAAAACGACTATAAAAGGAAACCCTTCACAGTATGTAAAGTTAAACGTTGGGGGCTGTTTACATTACACCACCATTGGAACTTTAACTAAGCATGATACAATGTTACGGGCCATGTTTAGTGGAAGAATGGAAGTGCTGTCTGATTCGGATGGTAAGATGATTTTATCGTCTAACAACATACATGATGGATGATTCATTTTCTTTTTAAGGTTGGATACTTATTGACAGATGTGGCAAACATTTTGGGACAATACTGAATTTTTTAAGAGACGGCAGCGTTTCTTTACCTGAATCGTCTAAAGAGATAGCAGAACTAGCAGCCGAAGCTAAGTACTACTGCATAGCTGAACTCGCGGAATCTTGTAACAAAGCTTTGGCTAAAAAAGAGAGAGGCGAGCACGAACCTATTTGTGGAGTGCCGTTAATTACATCCGTAAAAGAGGAAGAAATGTTAATAAGCTCAACGACTAAACCCGCAATAAAATTGCTTATAAACAGACATAATAATAAATATTCCTACACCACAACTTCAGACGATAATTTGCTGAAGAATATCGAACTATTCGATAAGCTTTCGTTGTGGTACAGCAACAGGGTGTTGTTTTTGAAAGACGTCATTAGTACGAGCGAAATTTGCTGCTGGGTTTTCTACGGACATGGGAAAAAGGTATCGGAGGTATGTTGTACCTCTATCGTCTATGCCACTGATAAGAAACACACGAAAGTTGAATGTCCGGAAGCGAGAATTTACGAGGAAACATTAAATATATTACTTTACGAGAGTCGTAACGCCCCAGACCAAGAACTGATGCAAGCCACGTCGACTAGAGGCGCGGTTTCTGGAATGTCCTCATATACAAGCGACGAGGAGGAAGAAAGATCAGGTATTGAACGACTTAGGTCTAATAAGTCTAATAATCAAACATAATTACTTCATTTTAACTACTTTGTAAGATATATTTGCATTACTGAACTGATATAATACTGGGTGGCCTAGAAAATTTATTTACAGTACAAGTTGGTGTATCGGAGTAAAAGCCATATTACAAACTTTTTCCGTTGACGTTCTGGTTTCTATTACTTAGGAAATGTGCTGGCATTCCATTTATAATGCTTAGTCGAGAGATGGGAACGACTATTGGTAAACTTCCTGTGTTATCACCAATAAAGTACTATTATAAGCATAGGTACATTTGCTATGTAACGGAAACGGCAACAGGAAAAGTTTATAAATCGGTTTTAAGCGTTTGCTACAGTTTTAAAATTTGTCATTCTTTATCTTTGCAAATAAATTATTATTTTATGTTAAGTTGTGAAATAAAAATATTGAACTAAAATGTTTCATGTTATGTCATTACATCCCTTGTCGTGTATTGTGGGTATGTTTTATAAAATTTCTTCAATTGAAACAAATAAGGTTACAGTTACCGACGAACAAATTACTTTTGAAATTTATTATTCCTCTGCAGTAGTGGCAGGTTTAGATTTTTTTTATCGTGCTTTGTAATTTTTTTTTATACACCTCGGAGTATGATTTATAGGGAAAGCTAGTCAAAATTTTGAGTATTGTGGATGTGATTTGTTTTTATATATCCCCGTTATTGTATTTTTATTATACTTAAATATTTTAACGTACAATACAGTTACAGGCGTATCAAAAGCTGTTGTAGCTGTATTTTGATTAATATGATATTAGGTTAAAAATGTGAATGTTCAAGATTTATTTACACTCAACAAACATACTATGTTAAAAAATATATATAGGTACTGGGGGTGGCTCAAAAAAAAACGGGTTTTTTTTTTTCCTGTTTCTTGTCAAAATATGTTAGTTTATCAGCCCCCTCAAAAAATCGGCTTTTTTAAAGGTCGCTCAAGATTTTAAAAAATTCCAAAATCGTCAAAAATTGAATTTTTTTAAATTTTTATTCTCGTTATTTTATCATTTTCTAGGTTGAAAAAATTTCGATTCTGAAAATTTCAATTTGATATTTTAATTTCTAAAGGTCACTCATAATTACTTTAATTTTCAAAGTAGTGTACCTATGTTTTCGAGCGACTTCTAAAAAATAAATATCAACGAACTAATAAATTTTTTTATTGAATTTGATGAATAAAAGAATAGAAATAAATCACGAGACACTTAAATTTTAAAAAATTAAAAAGTTATAAATATTCGATATTCACAGTGCGGTAGTAAATTTTGCCTCAAGAAATTTTTTGAGGGGGCTCTTAAAACATGATAAACTAACATATTTTCACAAAAGACACGAAAAAAAAATCGTTTTTTTTTGGGCCACCCTAATATTTACAGGGTATAGCAAAAGTACCGGAACGGCAGAATAACTCGGGAGAGCGTTTTAGTGAAAAATGTTAAATACAAAAGTTTTAGGATGTCTCCCTGGCTATCCGATGGTGACCTTGACATTGACCTTGAAGGTCATTTCAAGGTCAAACGTAATTTTTCAAATGGGATCCTATACTTTTGACCCCAGAAATGAAAAGAACGGAAAATTTTACGTTCAGATATGACCTTGAGTGACCCCTCCTTTTTGACCTTGGGGCCCCACATGGTCAAATTAACAAAAGTACAGGAACAGCAGAATTACTCGGCGGGAGAGCATATTAGAGAAAATTTTCAAAATTTTCCGCTTTTCATTTGTGGGGTCAAAAGTGTAGGGTCCCATTTGAAAAATCACATTTGACCTTGAAATGATCTTCAAGGTCAATGTCAAGGTCACCATCGGATGGCTAGGGAGTAATCCTGAAACTTTTATATTTAACATTTTTCTCTAAAATGCGCTCCCGCCGAGTTATTATGCCGTTCCTGTGTTTTTGTTAGTTTGACCTTGTGGGAGCCCCAAGGTCAAAAGGGAGGAGTCACTCAAGGTCATATCTGAACGTAAAATGTTCCACTCTTCATTTCTGGGGTCAAAAGTATAGGGTCCCATTTGAAAAAACACATTTGACCTTGAAATTATCTTCAAGGTCAATGTCAAGGTCACCATCGGATGGCCAGGGAGAAATCCTGAAACTTTTGTATTTAACATTTTTCTCTAAAATGCTCTCGGTCGAGTTATTCTCCCGTTCCGGTACTTTTGCTATACCCTGTATATTCCTGGTGAGCATACAGTTGTCAGTAGTTCTAAAATAGGACACTAACTCTTCTGTAAATATGTCGATCCCTTTGACATTTATAATTCTATGTACTTACTGTTTTATCACTTTTTTATCCTCTCCTTCAAGATCCAAGATATATGTAATTGTTGCACTTAGATACTGAACTATTTTGACTTGCCACCACTCTAAATATTAAAAATAAACTGTCAGACAGTTAAAACATATTGCACAAAAAAATATTAAAATTATCAAACACAGAACCGACAGCTTCCCTATGAAAGCGATTTTAAATTAATTTAATAAACGTTTTTCTCTTTGTTGTTTTTACGTATAAAAAATTCTTGTTGCGTTTCTTTTCACGTTAAAAAGCTGCTACTACTAAATTTGAAAAATCTGCCACTGCTTTATAAACTCCATTTCACAGTTATGATTTTTGGAATCGAATAGAAAATACGAATGTTGGTTTTTAGAATAAAATGAATTAATTCCATAACGTTTATTTATCTAGCAATTTTCTTATATTTTTTGCCCACCCAGGATTAAGTAATAGGACTGATCTATTATACAATTATTAACCTTCCTGTATATATATTCAGAGACGTAAAATTTTGACTCGATTCGGAAATAAGTGATTACAACTGTTTAGTTGGATAAGAAATGTTGATGTCAAGTCAGAATTCTACTGGTCTCGAGAATGCCTAAAAATTAATTTATTAGCTTGACCAATCAGCCGACATTGATCAAGGTGTATTAAAAACGTTATTAAACCTTGCAGTTCGCCCCTAATTGGTGGAGCAGTTCAAGTTGTTTTGCTTTATTTATGTGTCACGCATCGTTTTCATGGATACAGATAAAACCATTTTATTATAGTATTTTATTCAGTGTTGTTATATATACTTTTCTGTGATTTTTGATATTGTATTTTATTGTACTTCCAAATAAACAAAAACTGAATTTATATTCAATTAGGGAATAACTCAAAGTCGTTATTTTGTGTTATTTTTACAATTATTAGTTAATTGTAACGTTTTGACTTTGAATAAATCAGTGTTGTCAGTGTGCTTTTTCATTTCCTCAACATTTGGAGATAGCTGCTGTTTAGAATTGTTTTTTTGTTTATTATTTTTACGATTTACCTGCTTATTTTAAATATTCGGGCTAGTTCCGCTTTTGCTTGTCGAGTTCGAAAAGTGAGGCTTATCCAAGAGAAACCGCAAGAACGCCAAAGTTAACAAGCCAGTCATCTCGCCAAAAAGCAAACTATTAAATACTTGTCGAATAAAATCCTGTACGTATTTCTGATAGTTGCCTGTAAAACTTTAAACATACAAAAAAGTTACAGAAGAATATTCATAAAGGGTTGTAGTAAAATGAACGCCCTGTATGGTTTAACCTAACAGGAACATAATCACTGCATACTCCATGAAGGGAAACTAAGCAACAGCAAATTTTGCTCAAATTGGTTAGCTGGGTTCTGAGTTCTGAGTGAAATAAAAAAGAAACTTAACACCCTATAATTTTTTTTGCTTCAAGTTTGGTCAAATCGACACCATTTCGGTTCTAGATGATACAGGTTAAAATTAATAACAGTTGCTTTTCTTGTTTGAAAATTGCCAGTATTCAGGATAAGAGATATATTTACTCGTTGTGTTCATTTATACAGTGTTTCTTTTTTATACAGAGTTGATAATAGTGAAAAAAACAAACTTTCGCACATATTTTAAGCTGTATTTGTTTATACACATTTTGTTTACTCGGCGATAGGCAGCGAATTCTGTAATAGAAATTAACAATTTTTCTACCATAAATAAAGAATATTAGCACCATCGGTATTTCTCGTAGTTTAAAAATTAAAAATAAATTATAGTCTCCACGAATATCACAACTGGGATTCTTGATTAGGCGGTTCATTGAATATTGCTCCCATATTGTGCTCGCCGCCCATATTGTCAAAATGTGACGGTATGTTGGTGAACTGAGGCATTTGGGATTTTCTTCTTGTAACAGTTTCTCTTCTCTTTCCGATTGCCAGCATTGTTTTTCTTGGTACCGGCAGATTTTTGTCTAGAATATTTTATCAAAGTTACAGTTACCAGTCACTTTCCTACAAGACACTACTATACGTTTCAAATACACTAGCTCCCCATTTTTTGAGTTACAAAAAAAATAAATATTCTAATTATATCATCTTTGAACGCTTTTTCACAGTACCCCGTATATCGTCTACACGGAAGACTACAAATTCTTGGCTCAAAATAAAACAATTTAAATTTGCATTTATTCACAGTTGCTTCATTTAGACGCTAGAGAGCGCCAAAGTCGATAACAAAACGCGTTTTCCAAATATCTAAAGTGCTTTGTCTGATTTAAATAACATTTGGTATTACACTACTTCCTTATAGATGTCACTGTTTGAGGTTGTAGTGAAAATAATGGAAACATTCGCAACTATGTATAAGGTCTATGCTGTTGTGTAATCAGTGTAAGTTGGCAGCATTGAGCACTGGAAATAGTGTCGTCCATGCTCGGTGCTGCCAACTTACAAATTTGTTTATATAATTTCATTTCAATTATTATATATTTTTGTTTCAATCGTGTTTGTAAGGTTTCTATTGAAAATGTATTTGTGATTACTAATAAAATAGTTAATTACGTGAAAACTGTTAGGATCACCAAAAATGTATAAGAGAAAAAAGCTAAGTTCACAAAAAATATGAGTATATTTACCTTGTAGCATTTTTCTCATTAAACAAAGCAATTTGATAATTTGATTAGAGGTGTTTAGTTAAATAATTTTGTAACTCTCAAAATGCATGGTATTAGAAGCTTCACAGATGTAGTAGTTAGTTAGAAACTAGAAAATAGGTTTTAATTTTGGTGAATACCTATGTATGTATGTATTAGAGGATAAATTAAAAAAATTCATTTAATTTTGACATTATTTTCAAAAATGATAGTTGGGAATTAATTTCTATAAAACTAACGGTGGAAATTATAAAATGAACTTATTTCAGCTGCGTGATTTTTTGCAAAAAATATACAGCAATTATTTCGTGAGTTTTAGCAGAAACTTCTTTGATAGGACTCAATGGTGAAGAGTTCGGATTTTTGACATCCAGTACAATGTAGGTAGCCTTAAAGACATACATCCTTAGATATGAAGAGAATATGTTATTTCCACAGGGTTTTGACGCATATTCAAGTTATAACCTCTAATTTTTTCACAATTTTTCGCCCATGCGTTTGATTGTAATTTGCTTTAAAGCGGAAGCTCCATATTTGAAACGTGTAGTAGGTAATACAATGAATTAAGAGTGAATATTGGAAATATGTTCTATAACATAATTTAAATAATATAAAAAACAAAGCCAACAAATAATTGTCCGTGCGTTTCACTTACCACTGTCGCTATTCAAAATCTTCTCCATGCGAGTTGAGAAGGCCTTGTCCAGGTCCTCTATAATAGGCTTTTTGTTGCGTTTATTTAACGCCAGGGTGTGTACGGTATCCCTGCGAGTAACGGGTGCCTCGCTCTCGTCGTACTCGTCGTCGTTGATCCCTTGGAGCATCATAAGTTTCTTGAATATTCTCACTGGATCGCGTTCGAGAATCTCCTCCTCTGTGAGATTTTCGACCTTCTCCGTAGCGAACGGGTCCCAGTCGATGATGGTGTTCGCCATGATTTGCGAGTAGGTACCGAAACGATGAATGAACATGGCGATAAATTGGACGACCATGAGGACAGCGAAGAATATCAGGAATACGAAACCGATGGGCTCGAGTTCTAGGTACGTTTTTTGGACGTGAATCTGCAGGAGAAGAAGTAACTCTAGAACTGTTTCATCGCGTAATATATTGTTGGAAAATACAGGATATTATTTAATGTTAATAAAAGATATTTAAGGTGGTTTAATTTGTTTTTAGTTAATACACCTCAGATTCTTCTTCAGAAGCGAATTTTTCCACAGGTAAACTATAGACTAGCGCTGAATTTAACTTTTCTGAATAGATTTTAAATTATTATGTGCAACTCGTTCGGAAAAGTTGCCATAGCGCCACTTGGGCGCTTTCCGCACTCGCTTCGTTCGTGCGTCAACTGCGTCCGCATGGCGCTATTGCAACATTTTCCCACCCGTTACACAATGTACTATTTTTATTTTTCATATTGTTTATGATAAATTGCAGAACGATCTTTATATTCATAATTTTATTTAAAGAAAATAATTTGGAATTCAATTTTACGTTTCAAATAAAACGTACTTTCTCTAACATCTAGCTAACAACCTATAATAATCTTTACAAATATTAATTCTTATCTAAGTAACTGTTACTAGTCCTTTGTTTATGGTTGTTTCCTTTCAATCTTATTTGTGCCACCCGCTACCTTGATTCGTCTTTTATTCATTTGCGCTGCCCGGTATCTTGATTCTTTTCTGTTATCCAGTGCTGGAAACGCGACGACCAAATTTTCTTGTAGATGTGTTGTTAATTGCCTAACTTCTTTGCAACTTCAAGTTCTATTTTGGGTTCTGGCAGCTAAATTGATGAATTTCTAAGTTTTTTTTGATAACTCTAGATTCATTTGAGTTTCACTTTGGTTTGCAGCCTGACTACTTTGGCGTTTGCTTTAATGTTTTTACAATTTTGTCAAGTTAACTTTTCTTTTTGTTTTAGAAAGACGTTTGCCCTTACATGGTTGAAAACTGACTGACCATGACAATTTCTGACAGTTCTTGAATAGATTTATGCTAAACAAATGATTGTCAAAGATTTTTTCGTTCTAAAATTCCATATTATACGAAAACATTTTATCACAATGTGTATCTTTAAACCTAAAAATAGCTTCTTATTCCAGATTTTTCAGTTTCTATTGATATGCGACTGTCCTTATATTCTACGTTAACCGACAATTATTTTTCTTACATAAATACTTGTTAAAATATTCGGAGTAGATTAGATCAGGTTGTACAAACCAACAAACCTATGAAATGTTGAGTTGGCAACACTAGAGGTTGCTAGTTGATGAAAAAGATGGCGGATGTTATTATTATGTAGTTAGTTTTATGTTTTGTTTAAAAATAAAAAACTATTAAAAACACATTCTTCTTATCGCTTATGGAAAGACATAACAATACTGTGCTTACAACTACCTTTTTACAAAACTTGCAACTATCACCCCAAATTATTTTCTATTATTAAAATTTTTATGGGTTTTATATGTTACTGTGAATAAAATTAGTTTTTTTTTAGTATCTGCCTTATAAAAAGGTTTTATCCCATTGGGTGAATTAAAGTTAAATAAATAGATAAGTTTAGGTTAAAATTTATTAGACTCACCTCATTTTGGTCGAGGAAATACGTGAAATTAACTTTTGGATCGATTGGCCAATTTACGTGTAGTATCTCTTTTTGTAAGGTTAGAAGGAACACAACCAACACAAAAAGAGCGTTAATCATGAAGAACGTTATGACCATCTTGTCCCTGAGGTCCTTTAAGTCTTTAGCCACTTTTTTCTGTGAATAACGGATGTTAATAAATAACATACTTGGTGATACAGATAACACTCGTTAATAAGAGATATTTTAATTCTGTAAAATTCTCAAGCGGAATTTTCTAAAGCAAATTGTGGATGGCGTCGATCTTGGAAGTCTTTCAATGCCATTACCCTTGGTAAATTATGTTCTACAGGGTGAGTCAGTTTTTTGTAGTAGGATTTTAACAGTTGATAGAGAATAAGAAAAGTTCCTATAAACATAGGTCTTAGAAGTCTTAGAACGCTTCAATTGTGAGATATAGGGTGTTGAAAACAAACTTTTTTTAAGAATTTTTCTTAATATCTAAAAGATCAACATATTATGTTGGTCAATATATTATATTGAACTGAAATTTGGTATTAATAACACATTAATTATGGTGAATAAAACAAAGATATCTGTTATCCATTTCACACACCAGTGACGTGCCTGAGGTGGGTTACTGTCCCCTTTAAAAAAATAATTGGTACGCCCGTGGATTTTTCTGGAAAATAACATCATTTCTAAATTTTTTAAACAATTCTGAACAAAACAGCTCCCTTTCAATTTTTTATAAAATAAACGGTTTTTGGTTAAATTCATTTGGTCTTTTAGAGATATTAAGAAAAATTCTTAAAAATGCTTATTTTCTACACCCTATATCTCACAAACGAAGCGTTTTAAAACCTATATTTATAGGAACTTATCTTATTAAAAAATGATTCTCTATCAACTGTTATTATTCATTCAATCGTTTTTGTTGATTTTCAGTGCACATCATATTTTCCTTATTAATTCACAAATGTATTAGGTACCAATATCGTTGGAACAGTTTCATGCCAAATAAATTTAACCAAAAACCGTTCATTTTATAAAAAATTGAAAGAGAGCTGTTTTGTTCAGAATTGATTAAAAAATTTAGAAATGATATTATTTTCCAGAAAAATCCACGGGCGTACCAATTATATTTTTAAAGGGGGCAGTAACCCACCTCAGGCACGTCACTGGTGTATGAAATGGATAACAGATATATTTGTTTTATTCACCATAACTAATGTGTTATTAATACCAAATTTCAGTTCAATATATGTTGGTCTTTTAGAGATATTAAAAAAAATTCTTAAAAAAAGTTTGTTTTCAACACCCTATATCTCACAAGCGAAGCATTGTAAGACCTATGTTTATAGGAACTTTTCTTATTAAAAAATGATTCTCTATCAACTGTTAAAATCCTACTACAGAAAACTGACTCACCCTGATATTTAAATTTTGAAAATTTATTAGTTTCAAGTTGAATATGCTCAGAACCCATAACATTTTCAAGGCTCAATAATGAATTGAGGCACGGCTATAAGCAATAAAACTTAAACTAAAATGGTTAAAAAGGTTGAATGAAGTGGAAAAAGTATCTGAAGCTCTTGTCATTAAAAATTTTCTTAGACCGATTGAAATAATTTATTTAGAGGGAAAACAAATTGTTTCCTGGACTTTCATAAGTGGAAATTGTAAAGGGGCTTATAATAAAGTAGTAAAAAAAAACAAAAGATGTGAAAAATTGTATCATTGGAATTTCTGGCGAAAGTTGACGTCAAGCAAAAAAGTATCCAATACATAAGTTGTAGATCATGCAAAAATCTACTACAAACTTTTGTAGAGGTCACATTTTAACATAACCTCAAAATTTCCAAGAAAAATGCCAAAACAGGTTTTTTTCTTATGTTTCGTTTTTTATTTCTCATTTCCGCAAAAATAATTTAATTTTGACGAAACTTGGTGAAAGTATACCTTTCTGTGTTTTAAATAACCACAAATTTTTTAAGATAAAAAAATCAAGAAGTTTCCGAGATAGGTATTCATTTTTTCCGGTCTGAAACGTTTTTTTTCAATTCTGCCGGTGATTTTTGTTTTGACATATACTTTTTGATGAAATAAAAAAATCTGTAATCACAGTTCAAAAACATGCCCAAAAATGCAAAAAAATAAAAAATTACTTCCAACAATGAATTTTTCAGTAATTGTTGATAATTTGTTTAAATTAAAAAAAAAATCAAAAAGTGATTATTCAATTGTACGGAAAAAAATATAAAAGAAACTGTGTCTCATTGACTGACCCAAAACTTTATTTTCGTACAGTAGATATTGCTATTTTTGAACATGTTTTTGAACTGTGATTACAGATTTTTTTTTATTTCACCAAAAAGTATGTCAAAACAAAAAAATTATCACCGGCAGAACTCTGTACGACGATTTTTCTTTGCAAAAAAGTGTTTTAGACCAGAAAAAATAAAAATATGGGAAACTTGATTTTTTCATCTTAACAAATTTGTGATTATTTAAGACATAGAAAGGTACACTTTCACCAAGTTTCGTCAAAATTAAATTATTTTTGCGAAAATGCGAAATAAAAAACGATAAATAAGAAATGTTTTTCGCAATTTTTTCTTGGAAATTTTGAGGTTATCTTAAAAAGTGACCTCTAAAAGTTGTAGATTTTTGCATATTTTTGATAACTTTTGTATTGGATACTTTTTTGTTTGATGTCAATTTTCGCCAGAAATCCCAATGATACAATCTTTCACAACTTTTCAACCCCCCAAATCAACCCTCCACCACCCCTGCTCGCGCATTAATTAATTTTTTTACGTTTATTATAAGCTCCTTTACCATTTCCACTTATAAAAGTCCAGGTAACAATTTTTTTGCTCTAAGTGTAATTTGGTTGGACTATTTAGGAAAATTCCTCTTGAAGCCAATCAACTTGCTTTTACAAAATCAAAAAATCTCTCCGTTCTCAAGTTTTATGTGAGTCACGCTGCGTGGCATGGGTTCTAGAAGTAAAGAAAACTCGTATCATTAAATACCTCTTTGTCTTTGTCGTGTTCTATAGGTTGTAAGTACTTCCCGATTACATCACCCCAAAAAGTCTCTTCTTTTCGATCCAAGTAAGCAACCTCGCTCCTTATAAGTTCGCCATCATAGAACCAACTATTTTCCTGGACATCATCAGAGGGTGTTAAAATTGAATCATCGTCGTAATCTTCGTCAAGGTCACCAAGAGTGTTTTTCATCATGTGGACTGTAGAATTCCTTATAGATGAAGCCCTGGATGCCCTCGACCCTTCTATAATAGTTGTGCGTCTGGCTGTTTGTCTTCGTTGCTCCATTGGCTCCGGGGGAGCAAACTGGTTGCGTTCTATCTGATCGAGTTTCTGTTGCAACTGCAGTAACGACGCCTGCATATTTTTCAATATCTGACTTTCCTCCCCGTCTTTTTGATGAGTGCAGCACATCATCTTGAACAGACCGGCGCAACTGAACTCGAAAGATCCTGCGTTGTCCTTGTTGTTTCCAAAGAAAGAGTAAATTTTGTGGGTCTTGTCGGGCTTCTTTTTCTCCTCTTTTCCCTTTTCATCTGCCTTCCCGTCCTCTTTCTTGGCCTTAAAATACGACTTAGTGACAACACCACGATGTTTACTTGCTGCTGGTACTTACCTCTTCCTTTACCTGTGGTTTCGCCACGATCGTCACTTCTCTGGTTCCCCAAGATACGTTGTTCATGTTGAAGATCGAATAAATAACCAGCAACATGTACATACTGGGTACGGTGACGTAATAGATCACGCCGTATTTTAAACAGTAAAATTCTTGAGGGTGCATCATAGCCGTTATCACGAACTCCAGAGCCAGGCAAAAGAAGAATAGCGACGAGGGGGCTAGCCAACCGTCATCCTTTATTTGCATAACTATACCTATCAGAACGGCCATCATGACCAAACCGTATAAAGCACTGATAACCCCAGCGAAGAACAACTAAAACATAAAGAGATTATTTTAATATCCAGCATTCTAATTTTCCAAATAAATCCAGAAAAGGAAATTTACCTGTGTATCGGCTTTGCAGGTAGCGCAGACTATGACAAACATTAAAATGGGAACGATATTCCAAGCGAAACTGGTCCATTGATCAAGTTTAAATGCAGCAACGAAGGCTCCCACTAACATAAGGAAAATAGTTCCAGGCCCAATGGTGGTACCTATCATAAGGATCATCTGAAATTAAATAACATTATTGGGCTAATTGACTGACAAATACTCTGCGTACAGCTCGCCAGAAGAAAGGGCCCTAGCCGGCGGGGCCCAGCCAGGACAAAAGGAGGTCCCACAAAGCGCCTACACCGGCCGCATTTGCGGTCGGGGTAGACGACGGATGGGGCCCACCTACGAAGGCTGTCCAGGCCTACACGAGATGAGGCAGGATAAAGAGGGATAATCCCCCTCGATCCCAAATCATTGAGGCCAATTTCTAGCCATGGAATAATGGCGCGTGCGTACAGCTACAGCTGCGTCCACAATTGAATTGCACACGCAATATCCAATAAGCAGCTAAGATTTTATTAGTTCTCATCAATTAGTTACTTTGCAACGGTTCCTGTGGAAATGTTACTCAGAACTACAAATTGGTACCTTCATAATGTAACAGTTACTTTGCAACTATTATTTAGAACCGTTACCTGAATCGTTATCCTGGAACTGCTATCTCGGAACCTTTAATTCACAGTTTTTACTTTGTAACCGTTACCTTGGAACTGTGACCTGGAACCAGTACCGGAACTTTGAAAGCGTTATTTAAAACCGTACTTTAAAACCGTTACCTGGAATACATTACTCGGAACCGTTACTTTGGAACAGTGACTTGGAATCGTTACTTTGGAACCGTTAACTTTTTAAGACAAATTGAGGGCACGTTAGTTGTTTCCACAATACAATTAGTTAAAAAGTTAATTCGCCTAGTGCAACGTTAGTCATGCTTTCATAGTACGAGTACTTAGAGCTTAGTAGGTCGCTCTCTGCCAGTAGCAATGGAGTTGAGTAACAGTGACAATTATAACATACTTGCTTCGTGTGGAAAGTGTAAAGTCATATAAAAGCTTCAGCATAATTTGATCATTATAAAAAATTTGTTAGTAGTGTAATTCTATTTAAAACAGTTTATTTTAAACTTTATCAATAATAAATTGATGCATTGTATTGTGAGTTAAGATTAGATAAGAAATAAAAATTATATTGGGTAATAAGCATTATCAGGCTATTAAAAAGTAACTGCAGTCTTTGTTTTTGTGCTATAAATGAAAGATAATACATAAAACGATAAAATATACGATATTAATTTGTGTTCGTCTTTAACGTCCTTTTGATCGTTTTAATTGATTAAGTAAAAAATAAGATTTGAAATATAATTCCTGTTCTGAGTAGTTCAGCAGGCTGCTAAAAATATGACCCAGGAATCATTTTTCTATAAAAATGTCATACATTTACAAATTCGATGGTTGCTTTATCGACCATCATGTTCCTAATCTTTTATTTAATAGTTCAACACAGAACGAATTTTCGCAATGGTTGGAGTTTCGCTACCTTTAAGATGATGAGTTTTGATAAATGTTTTATTACTTACTTGGTAAAGAATATACGGCTTGGAAATATTGTCGTTGATCTTAATAATATGTTTATAGTCAGTCAAAAGGTCCAGGATATTGGCGGTAGTAGAAGGCATCCATCTTCTCCTCTGGTTATAGAACTCGTTGAATCCTTCAGGGCAATGGGTGTAAGCGTCAGACGCCGCCGAGTATTCCACACGATATCCTCTTTGCAGTAGCAACGTACACAACCATCTGTCTTCCCCTAAAAAGATATTAAAGCTGTGGTGCACTCTGAACTAATCAAATGTAGATTCGAACATAGGATCATCAATATTGAAACTTCCGAAAGCGCCACAAACCTTGATCATATTGAACGTAATGACGAGCCTCTTCGGAAACGGTGGTGTATTTTGCCATGACGTTATCGTCCATAAGCGCCTTAGCCCTAAACAGTGAAAAGCATCCAGGACTACAAAGTACGCAGCCAATGACGTGTTCCGTCGCTTTCTGCAACCAATGCCCTACGGCATATTCAAAGATCTGGTACCAAGCCATAGCTCCAGACCCGATAGGATGGATTCTGCCGCAAGCCGCACCAAGGCTTCTGTTCTTCTTCATGTAGTCCACCAGTAAATGTACCGCGGGTGGTTGGAAATCAATGTCGCCATCAAGAGCGAGCAGGTACGTGTTTTCACTAATCGCCGAGACTCTGGATGGGGTTAGCTCGTCGTTTTCCATGATTCTAAAAAAATTTTGACCTTAGTTTTCATCTTCCTTCAACGAAAGCACTAGTACTAGCATAAGTACGAATGCTACTCTAGTACTACTTCTGCTGCTACTACTATTTCATTTCTACTATTAATGTAAGTTCAATAAAGCAGATCTGTATTCTTGGATCTACTTTGTATTTCCAGTTGTGCCAAGGAATAATGTCTGATTTAATTGTATACGATTTAATTGAGACTAAAGTAGGCACATTCACATATGTGTAGTTTGTAACATCTACTGTTTCCACAGAGTGGATGTCACAGTTTTTCATAGTTAGTTTCATGTGATCCGAATACCAATGTTAACTTAGTAGTTGTACATGTTTTGAACTCTTGAATTGAATAGTTTGCATACTTTTGTTTTATAATTATTTACCTGTATCCCAAAAGGTAGTACATGTACATAACCTGCGACCACCTCTTCTTCTTCCTAATCTTGTCTGCATCTTTTAAATGAGCTATCATCTTAGTTTTGCCTGGCAGTGTCCAAACCAGTCTTCCTCCATATGGTGTTGGATATATGACGGGCGGTTTTATCCTTACGTTGGTCTTATGAACATCTGAAGCAGCTACTGCTACAGATTCTATCAGGTCCAGGACGTACTGATTGACGTGGGGATCCTGATCGTTTTCTGTTACCCTTACAAATGCGTCGTCAAATAGTACATGAGCTGAAAAGGTTGTAATTGTAATTATTTACTGCTTCCAATTACTAAATTTAATAATTTTGAAAATATAATTATCTAATATCTCCACTATATATCAATGCCTAGAATCTACATATAAACTTTTAGATGATTGCGTGGTTTGGTCCAGCTGTCCTTGAAATTCGTAATAAATTATAGAAATTATAGAGATTTATTCAAGAAATTACATAAGGATTTAAATTTCTCTTATCTTCAATTTGAATACAATTGTGCTACTGGAATGGTGGATGCGAAGAACGAATGGGAGTGGGGATAGACAATTTACGGTGAACATTTGTACTGATTTTTCAATTCATCATCAAGGGAAAATTCTTTACAGTGGAAATTATGTGAAGAAGCTGCCACTTTTGACACAATCTTAGTTGAAAGGTTTCAGTAACTTACTTTCAAATTCGTAGTAGTTCGGTAAGTTGTACTGTAGATAGTTTCTGACAATCCTGTGAGCACACTGGTCTTCGTCCATCCTCAAAACGGATTTTAAGAACTCCACCATTTCCTCTTTGGTCTCGTGCCACATGGTTCCGCAAGCGTATATACGAGTGATTTTGTCTTTGTTCATTTCTAGGGGTGACTCGTTCTCTGAGGGTTTATTTCATTAATTTAAAAATTTTTCCTTCTTTCGTGTCTATACTTACCATTAACTTCCTCCGGCTTCTTCATATCGTCCTCGATCTTCCGCCTATTGAGAGCTATGGATTGATCGATGAGGAAGGCGTCGTACATGGGTTTGAAGAACAGTTTTTCAGTGGACGCCAGCCTTTCGTTGTTGTTCGTCCATATGTGTATCGTGATCCAGCATTGGGACAACAACCAAATCAACCAGATCCAAGAGTGCTGATGCGAAACGAACTCGTTCAAGTAGTACAGCGAGGGAGAGCTGAAGAATAGATACTCGGGGATTATGTGAACGTAAGCGCATTCGTCTCTGTTGTATCTCCCGCACATGCCGATCAGGCCAGTCAGGACGACGGGCACGGTGAGGTTTATGGGGAGGGCGAAACTGAAGGTCTGTATCATGATTTTGCTCGCGAATTTCCCAAACGCGTAGCATACGTACGTGCATATCGCGTTGATTATAAACACGCTTAGGGGGGTCCAAATTGAGGTCTCTATCACCGTGCCGAATCCGTTGGCGACGGCGTCTTGGTAGGACAGGTTCGTGTTTCCAATACTTGGTCCCGTCTGAAAATAAACCGAATTAATCTGGAATGTACAAGATATTTCAGCTCCAAGTGATCGAACTTCAACTCTCGCGTGGACATCTTACTTCAAAACTCTTTAAGGAACCACGAAAGTCAACTTAAACACATAAAAGCATTGTCTTACCTCAGTGACGTTGATACTGTGCGACTGGAAAGCTTTGACGAAGTACGAAAACAAAAAATCGACGTCTCCCTCCCTTATTATAATGCTAACAATTGTCGTAATGAAGAACACCAGGCATTTCCATGGGGCTAGTATGGCGTACATGAAATAGGTTTTGTTCTTGAACTCCCTCTTGGTTTTCGCCAAATTACTGATGTAAGGTATCGGGCTTTTCTCCGACACGAAGTTTTCCCACCAACCGAAGGAAATGAAAATCAGACTGACTGGTATAACGTACAATATGGTTTCTCCGTTTGTTAGAGGCCATACCACAAAGGCGCTAGCTTGTGCTATGATGGCTACTATATCCAATACCAGTTTAAGGGTGCTGTTGATGGAATGCGGGTGTCTCGAGAAGAAAGCTACAGAAATAATGTCCGTGAAGGTGTATCAACCCAATAAAACCCAGAGATAAAATGTAAGATCTGACCTGAACTCATAAAACCTAAACCTATAAGACTTAAACCCACAAAACGTAAAACCGTAAAACTTAAACCTGTAAGACCTAAGCCTATAAATCCCGAACCCCCAAAACTCAGAGTTTTATGGATTTCGGTTGTGTAGGTTTAGTTTATATCGGTTTAGATTGTATGGGTCTGGATTTTGTGGGTTTGGATTTAATGAATTTAGATTTAATGGGTTTAGGTCTTACAAGTTTACGTTATATGGGTTTGGGATTTTTCGTTTAGGTTTTATGGATTTTAAGGTTTAGATCTTATTTTTTACATTTTAACTCTCTGTGTTTTGTCGGTTTGGATTATATAGGTTTAGGTTTCATGGGTGTTTAAATTTTATGGCTCTGGGTTCAGATTTTATAGGTCAGGGTTTTGTGGGTTTGGATTTAATGGATTTAGGTATTTATCGTTTCAAGAATTGGTGGTTGAAGGGTTTATAATCAAATGGTTTTAAAATTCATATCCTATATATTTTATATTTGCTAAACATTTTTCATATTGGTATCATTTATAGGAAACATGCCCGATTGTAGTTTATAAGAGTATTGGAAGTTTCGATATTAAAATATCGCAATTGTCGTAGTGACATAAGAAAGCGGATATCATTTTCGCTCGTCTGAATTTTCTGGTTTACGTATTATGTGGTTGTAATAATGAGCTTTATAGCAGAATTTTATAGCTTTAAATTTAATCAATAGATTGGTCCATATTGAAGCTTACAACAGGGAATTTTGACAATTTATTTATTATTTATCTCATATAGATACTTAATGAAAAACAGTGAAGTTAAATTTTCCAAAAAAAAATCGTAAGAAATGATTTCTTTATCCAATAATAAACATTTACCTCGTTTATTTTTTTTTATAAATTATGTCCCGGATCAGCAAAATCTGTGATCTACTTGTCATTTATCCCTATTTTTAGCCTTATAATAATTTCCAAATATTTGTAATTTATAACAAATAAACTCTTATCAGCTTAAGCCGTAAATTAGTGATGCCGATAATTTTTAAGGGGATTTTTCGGAGTTCTAAAATATGTTTATTTACTTTAGCAGGTACTATTCGCAGATTGTACTTGTCTCAATTTATTGCAGTTTTATTTGTTCAAGATTATCTTTAGCAGAGCTATCTATCAATAATTATGATAATAATCAATATCTTGTCGTTTATTTCGACTACGCCTCGATATAGCAAATCATACATTTGGGCAATTCCGATCCACTTTAAGTGCCTGTTAGAAGCATTGTTTTGCAACTTATCAATTTTTTAAAATGATAAGGATTTATTAATAGTCGTTGACGGATGCTTTCCGGTATTTCTTCAAAAGGTATAGGTGCAAATATATTTGAATACTCACTTATAAACCCTGGTATGAAACACGCAGCGTTGGTCAGCATCGCCGCCTTGATCACGTCCAATTCCGGAAAAATGATGAAGACTAGGAGAGAACTCCCGATAGCTGGTAAAGTCTCCGTAATAAAAAGCCAAAAGAAATCCCAGAAAGTGGGATAACTCCAGGATTTGAAGCATATTATCCTTACGGATCGTAGGAAGGTACCCAGTTCTGGAACCATATACGCGAACATTACCAACCACATCCATACCACCCGTTCCTCAGTCGGTAGGGTCACTTGAAACCTTTGGTTTTCCTCTGAAAATTAGAATCGTGATACAACCTCAAATTTTGCTCTGGGCCTGAAAGATATCTTTCATTGAGGATGTTCTCATAAACCTACTCACCTATATTCAGGTTGCAATAGGGCCTGGTAATATTTTTCTTTATCTGCGAAGTCATAAACAGCAACGTTCCCTTTGATACAGCTGCTGTTCCCAACACAACAATGAAGGTAATAGTTACGGTGAAGCATTTTAAAATTCTCACTCCTGTGTCGATAAATTTCGACTCGGCTGTGGACCCGGTGTCGATTTTCCTGGGTTTGTTTCGAAAGGCGTCCCAGTTTTTTTGGCGCACCTCACTAAAATCAATGTTCAGTTGTAAATGTTTCTCTTAATTGCTAGAAATGTGGTAGTTTTGCTGAAGTTCCGCTTAATGACGTCACAACGTATATTTTAAATTTTTTAGGGTTCAAATGAGGTCGATATGAAAAAAGAAAGATCACGGATCTCATATTTTTTAACCTATTTTGATGTTGTTGTGTGAAAAAGTTTGTTCTATTGAAAAAAAAAATAAAAATAAAAATAGGGGCGCGACTTTTGATACTGATGTATACTTACTTTTCAGGTTCGAGAAGTGGTTCTTTGTCCTCGTATATTTCTCTTCTTCTCATTTTAGTAATTTCACTTATCGTTTCATAGGTATTTCTATTCGATTTTACTTATAAAAAGCTAAAACTGGAAATAAAGTCGTGATTTTAGTGTGTTAGCTTATGAAATTAGTAACGCAAAGCGTTTTTTTTGTCGGATTATTTATTAATAATGACACTGAGAGAAATTTTTATTGAAATTGCAATTTTCTGCATATACAGCAGCAAGCAGGAATCACTTTTTTGTCGAAACATGAACCACTGTGGGATAGCCAATTTGTGCTATCATATTTTCTGTTAATTTGTTAATTTATCAATTATTTATGTTTTCTTAAGTTTATTTCTAATATTTATTGCTCTTATATTATTTACTTCGCGTTTATATCGCTATACTTATAGTCCAAGAGAATTAAGCTCAAAACCTTCGAGATATGGCTGTTGCTTGACGTAACTTAGATATTAGTAAAAATCGGTAGAAAATAATATATACAATGAAAATATAAGGTTGCGCCAAGAAAAAAAGTTGTGCTATTTGCAGAAAAAAATAAAAACTGCAAAAATACTCAAAAATGACGTGTTTTTTCTAACATTTTCCAACATAACTTCTTAAATATGCAGTTTACAGAAAAAACTATTACTGGTGAAATTGTTTGTTATGAAATTTGCTACAAGATAGAATTGTTTTGATACCTGCGCATATCATATTTTTGTTGCTAAATAGTCAAAACTACCTAAGAAAGTGATGAAAATCGAGGTAATTTGGAAGCGTCAAACTGACAGGCAAGAAATTTTCCAATTCTACTATAAATGTAGATGTAAGTACTTTAAACGATTATAAAACAAAATTCCAAAACCCGATCCAAATCGGTCTGATAGTATTGGTATGAGACAATTTGTTACTAAATTTCAGCGCGAAATGTCGTTATTTTTTTACGTGAGTGCTGGGGTTAAAGTTAGGCATTTTAATTGGCGCTGATTTTTTTACACATACTTAGACCCCGTAACAATCATATAGAATCGTTAGAATATCAATTTTCTTTTTTTGAATAATTTTTGGAGCGAATTTAAAAGTTAGAAAAATTTTGACTTTATAAACAAATACTTTCGTGAAGCGGTTTTGCGGGTTGGAAAATATACCAAAGTACTAAAAAACAGTTCTCGGAAAGACGCTTAACTTGAAAAAAAGAACGTTCAAATCGGTCCTATAAGTTCCGAGATATAGAGTGTCAAAGTCAACAAGCGCTTGCTGCAAAACTATGTATAATGTAACAACAATAAAAATTGAATTTGGTAGGTTTTTTCAAGAACTTTCCGTATGTGTTTTTATAAATATGATCGCACGTGTGCTTTTTTATGAAAATTCAATGAATATTGTCAAGCCGACCATTTGTGCCGCAAAACCGAGGGGAGGGGATGAATTATAGAAATTGAAATCGCGCGTTCTAAAAAAAAGCGCGCGCGCTTCGGCGTTCAATATCTCGGCTTCTATGGCTCCGATTTTGATGATTTTTTTTTAATCGATAAAGCAAAATGAGAGGAATTCAATTATCAAGATTATTATAAAGCCCTTTTCTGTCTATTACGACTACTTAAAATTTCTCACATTTGTTATACTGTATATTCATGTAAATAGTAATATCGATGGTAGGATATAGGAACATAATCCACTGTTAAAAGGTATTAGTTTTAATAATTGGTAATAATGTTTAAATAAAATCTTGAAATTTTTATTTAATATGTAATTTATTTATTGTATGCATAGAATATAGAAAAAGATATAGATACAAATAATTATTTATTTATGTTTATAAAACGTGTTTATTATATTTTCATTATCATCGTATTATTAAAGTTTTTCACTTTTTTACAACATCATTGCTGTTTTCAGTTATAATATCAGCATTTGAATAAGTACCGTTTTCCATTATTTTCAAATCAGTGTTTAACTAATTGTAAGTAGGTACCACTGTCACATTAACAGCAAATGATGACTTATGGTTGGTTATGGTTGGTTAATTTGATTTTTTAAATTTGCTAGCAATTTCATAGCCATCCTCGCAAGAAAATGGATCATTTTATTTATCACAAAAACCGTCAAAACAGAAAAATTAAAAGATAGGTATATGGAGATGTAATATAGATAGATATAGAGTAAATTTTTACAACAGATTTTGATTAAATATACGGGGTGTATAATTTAGAAAAACCAAGTTTTGGCGGTTCGGTCAATCAAATGCGACAATAAATATGAAATTGAAATAGGTCGAAGACCATTAGACCATTAGAGATGAATATAGGGAAGCTTTATAAAATTCCCCTAAAATTACGCGTAGAATCCAAATATGCAAAAATATATAGGATGTTCCATTTATAATAAGCAAATAGGTGGCGACTACCGGTATAACCGGAAGTACTACAACAATGGCATTATTTTATTTAAACTCTTTTTAAATAAAACTTCCAAAACCACCAGGTCCCAAATTTTCAAAATTCAAATCGAAGTAGTCTCCGAAATATTCTATTGAGCGGTCACCGTATGACAGCTTGTAGAAGAAAATTTTGAGAGCGAAAACAGCAACTATGCTGTAAAAAAACGGAATACTTTAATAATGCAATGATATACGTTTTATAAATATCAAATAAATACATTACATATTAAATAAAAATGTCAAGCTTTTAAACATTATTACGAATTATTAAAACTAATAACTATTAACAATGGACTATGTATTATCTACTATCGATATTATTATTTACATGAATATACAGCAACAATGAAATGTGTGAAATTTTAAGTAGTCGTAATAGGCTGATAGGGCTTTATAATATTTTAATGAAATCTTGATAATTGAATTCCTCTCATTATGATATATTGATTTTAAAAAAATCATCAAAATCGGAGCCGTAGAAGCCGAGATATTGAACGCCGAAGAGGGCACGCTCGTTTTGAACGCGCAATTTCAATTTCTATCATTCATCCCCTCCCCCCGGTTTTGCGGCTCAAATGGTCGGCTTGGCGATATTCATTGAATTTTCATAAAAAAGGCACACGTGTGATAATATTTATAAAAGCACATACGAAAAGTTCTTAAAAAACCTACCAAATTTATATTTTGTTGTTGTTACATTATGCATAGTTTTGCAGCTAACGCTTGTTGACTTTGACACTCGATATCTCGGAACTTTTAGGACCGATTTGAACGTTCTTTTTTTCAAGTTAAGCGTCTTTCCGAGAACTGTTTTTTAGTACTTTGGTATATTTTCCAACCCGCAAAACCGCTTCACGAAAGTAATTGTTTATAAAGTCAAAATTTTTCTAACTTTTAAATTCGCTCCAAAAATTATTCAAAAAAAGAAAATTGATATTCTAACGATTCTATATGATTGTTAAGGGGTCCAAGTAAGTGTAAAAAAATTAGCGCAGATTAAAATGTCTAACTTTAACCCCAGCACTCACGTAAAAAAATAACGACATTTCGCGCTGAAATTTAGTAACAAATTGTCTTTTACCAATACTATGAAACCGATTTGGATCGGGTTTTGGAATTTCGTTTTATAATCGTTTAAAGTACTTACATCTACATTTATAGTAGAATTGGACAATTTCTTGCCTGTCAGTTTGACACTTCCAAATTACCTCGATTTTCATCAATTTCTTACGTCGTTTTTGCTATTTAGCAACAAAAATATGATATGTGCAGGTATCAAAACAATTCTATCTTATAGCAAATTTCATAACATACAATTTTACCAGTAATAGTTTTTTCTGTAAACTGCATATTTAAGTAGTTATGTTGGAAAATGTTAGAAAAAACACGTCATTTTTGAGTATTTTTGCAGTTTTTATTTTTTTCTGCAAATAGCACAACTTTTTTTCTTGGCGCAACCTTATATTTTCATTGTATATATTATTTTCGACCGATTTTTACTATTATCCAAGTTACGTCAAGCAACAGCCATGTCAATGTGTAATTCTCCTGGACTATTAAAGATGTTTGAAATTTGCTCAAAGTAATACACAAAGCAATATAATATTTGTATCACTTCTACATGGTGATACTACAAGTCAAAATAATAAAAACTAACTCAAATGTTATGCGATTTTCAATTGTTTTCAAAGTATGATCAATATTTCAATAAAAAAATAGATTTATTGGTATTTTTAGTCTATTAATAGCGTTCTTTGATTCAAAACATCATCACAATTGACCTCTAAACACTTTCTGCTTCGTCTCCGTAGGTTTGTAGCTCTCCTGGTTGCTACATATCTTTCTTTAATAAATGCTGCGTGTTAATGATACTTCAAATTGAACCAGCCCCATAAACAGTAATCTAGTGCTGTGAGGTCTGGAGATGTTGGAGGCCAACTAATAGGACCACCGGCCAATCCAACGCTCTGGAAATATTTCGTTCGAATGTAACTTGACTGGTCGAACGAAATGCGCGGCAGTTTCATCGTGCTTATATCGCATTCTCATGTTTATAGGAACATCTTCTAGTGGTACTTGAAATTCGTTTTGTAAAAAAATTAAGTAGTGGTGTCCTGTGAGTCGATTCTCCAAAATGAAAGGGACTATTAAATAACTCGATCATACCACATAACACGTTTACCGAAAAACCATGTTGTTTTATTGTTTTTTTTTTGTGGAATGCCCAATTAAGTACCAATTTTTCGTGAGCTGGTAGTGGCTTCATCTTCTATAAGACTCAGGTTTTGTTACTTCTTCTAAATCTTGTCAATGAGCTCGTCTACCACAGACAATATAGCTTCGCTCCAGACAACTACTGGAACAGGACATAAATTTCCGAATTGCCAATAGAGTACACAGCAGCAGAATTTTAGGAAGAATCAAATGCAGCGGCCCGCATTCCTACGTGTATCCTAGCAACATATAAACAATAGTTTGGCTATGTTGTCACGCGTACTTACGGATTTATTTTGTACACTTTTTTATCAATGCCTGTTTTTTGCGTTACTGTATTTATTTAAATATATGATGTAGGTACTGATAAAAACGTTTTAAAGAATCAACGAATACCTATGTAGTTTCAGATGATATTCTGCAGCGGTGTCACAGTTAGGTTATTTAATCATAATTTCATTAATACTACTATTTTCATTTTTTGGTAGAAATGCTGCGGAAAATATATTTCTAAATAAACAAAATTTACAATGATATTAAGGTACTATTCTTAAGGAAATTTTACATTTTAAAATTTTTTTGAAATAAAAATAATTAGGTAAATTAATAGTTTTAATTCTAACTTGATTTATTTTATTTAGCATTTAACAAAAATGTCATTACCAAGGTAAGTTCCATATAACTCTTCAATTATATAATTAAATGCTTTAAATTTATTTGGCAGTTATTATTTGGCAACAAAGCCAACGCTAGAACTGCTTCAACGAGTAGAAGAGTTACCACAGTAAATTTTATTGCTGAATTCCGGCTAACAAGACGTTGCACTCTTTTTGGGTTGCCAATTTCAAGCATTTAGCGCGCGGTCTGAAGCGATAAGCTATATTGTCTGTGGTTATATTAACACTGGGTTTTCCACAGTTTGTTGAAAACTCTGATTTTTACCAGGACATTTGTGATGTGGAAGCCGTTGATGATATTCTTCAACAGCAGTATTAGCATTTCCATTACAAAAACCATAAACAAACACCATATTTGCATATTCTAAATTTGAATAAGTTCTTGGTATTTTGTAACACTTTGATCGTATAAACTTGTAATCAAATGTTAAACAATTGCAACATAAAATGACACTGACAAATGTTCTACTTTTGAACTTGGAACAAGACATACTTCGATTTCAAATATATATGATATAACTTGAAAAGAAATTAAAATCTCATTTGAATTTTTCCTTATGCCCGGAGTTCTCCCGACTCACTCTGTATAATTAAAAGAAATTTGAAAAATGAAAATAAAGATCTGTATTTATTATTTTTAATANTCTACTTTGTATTTCCAGTTGTGCCAAGGAATAATGTCTGATTTAATTGTATACGATTTAATTGAGACTAAAGTAGGCACATTCACATATGTGTAGTTTGTAACATCTAATGTTTCCACAGAGTGGATGTCACAGTTTTTCATAGTTAGTTTCATGTGATCCGAATACCAATGTTAACTTAGTAGTTGTACATGTTTTGAACTCTTGAATTGAATAGTTTGCATACTTTTGTTTTATAATTATTTACCTGTATCCCAAAAGGTAGTACATGTACATAACCTGCGACCACCTTTTCTTCTTCCTAATCTTGTCTGCATCTTTTAAATGAGCTATCATCTTAGTTTTGCCTGGCAGTGTCCAAACCAGTCTTCCTCCATATGGTGTTGGATATATGACGGGCGGTTTTATCCTTACGTTGGTCTTATGAACATCTGAAGCAGCTACTGCTACAGATTCTATCAGGTCCAGGACGTACTGATTGACGTGGGGATCCTGATCGTTTTCTGTTACCCTTACAAATGCGTCGTCAAATAGTACATGAGCTGAAAAGGTTGTAATTGTAATTATTTACTGCTTCCAATTACTAAATTTAATAATTTTGAAAATATAATTATCTAATATCTCCACTATATATCAATGCCTAGAATCTACATATAAACTTTTAGATGATTGCGTGGTTTGGTCCAGCTGTCCTTGAAATTCGTAATAAATTATAGAAATTATAGAGATTTATTCAAGAAATTACATAAGGATTTAAATTTCTCTTATCTTCAATTTGAATACAATTGTGCTACTGGAATGGTGGATGCGAAGAACGAATGGGAGTGGGGATAGACAATTTACGGTGAACATTTGTACTGATTTTTCAATTCATCATCAAGGGAAAATTCTTTACAGTGGAAATTATGTGAAGAAGCTGCCACTTTTGACACAATCTTAGTTGAAAGGTTTCAGTAACTTACTTTCAAATTCGTAGTAGTTCGGTAAGTTGTACTGTAGATAGTTTCTGACAATCCTGTGAGCACACTGGTCTTCGTCCATCCTCAAAACGGATTTTAAGAACTCCACCATTTCCTCTTTGGTCTCGTGCCACATTGTTCCACAAGCGTATATACGAGTGATTTTGTCTTTGTTCATTTCTAGGGGTGACTCGTTCTCTGAGGGTTTATTTCATTAATTTAAAAATTTTTCTTTCTTTCGTGTCTATACTTACCATTAACTTCCTCGGGCTTCTTCATATCGTCCTCGATCTTCCGCCTATTGAGAGCTATGGATTGATCGATGAGGAAGGCGTCGTACATGGGTTTGAAGAACAGTTTTTCAGTGGACGCCAGCCTTTCGTTGTTGTTCGTCCATATGTGTATCGTGATCCAGCACTGGGACAACAACCAAATCAACCAGATCCAAGAGTGCTGATGCGAAACGAACTCGTTCAAGTAGTAGAGAGAGGGGGAGTTGAAGAATAGATACTCGGGGATTATGTGAACGTAAGCGCATTCGTCTCTGTTGTATCTCCCGCACATGCCGATCAGGCCAGTCAGGACGACGGGCACGGTGAGGTTTATGGGGAGGGCGAAACTGAAGGTCTGTATCATGATTTTGCTCGCGAATTTCCCAAACGCGTAGCATACGTACGTGCATATCGCGTTGATTATAAACACGCTTAGGGGGGTCCAAATTGAGGTCTCTATCACCGTGCCGAATCCGTTGGCGACGGCGTCTTGGTAGGACAGGTTCGTGTTTCCAATACTTGGTCCCGTCTGAAAATAAACCGAATTAATCTGGAATGTACAAGATATTTCAGCTCCAAGTGATCGAACTTCAACTCTCGCGTGGACATCTTACTTCAAAACTCTTTAAGGAACCACGAAAGTCAACTTAAACACATAAAAGCATTGTCTTACCTCAGTGACGTTGATACTGTGCGACTGGAAAGCTTTGACGAAGTACGAAAACAAAAAATCGACGTCTCCCTCCCTTATTATAATGCTAACAATTGTCGTAATGAAGAACACCAGGCATTTCCATGGGGCTAGTATGGCGTACATGAAATAGGTTTTGTTCTTGAACTCCCTCTTGGTTTTCGCCAAATTACTGATGTAAGGTATCGGGCTTTTCTCCGACACGAAGTTTTCCCACCAACCGAAGGAAATGAAAATCAGACTGACTGGTATAACGTACAATATGGTTTCTCCGTTTGTTAGAGGCCATACCACAAAGGCGCTAGCTTGTGCTATGATGGCTACTATATCCAATACCAGTTTAAGGGTGCTGTTGATGGAATGCGGGTGTCTCGAGAAGAAAGCTACAGAAATAATGTCCGTGAAGGTGTATCAACCCAATAAAACCCAGAGATAAAATGTAAGATCTGACCTGAACTCATAAAACCTAAACCTATAAGACTTAAACCCACAAAACGTAAAACCGTAAAACTTAAACCTGTAAGACCTAAGCCTATAAATCCCGAACCCCCAAAACTCAGAGTTTTATGGATTTCGGTTTTGTAGGTTTAGTTTATATCGGTTTAGATTGTATGGGTCTGGATTTTGTGGGTTTGGATTTAATGAATTTAGATTTAATGGGTTTAGGTCTTACAAGTTTACGTTATATGGGTTTGGGATTTTTCGTTTAGGTTTTATGGATTTTAAGGTTTAGATCTTATTTTTTACATTTTAACTCTCTGTGTTTTGTCGGTTTGGATTATATAGGTTTAGGTTTCATGGGTGTTTAAATTTTATGGCTCTGGGTTCAGATTTTATAGGTCAGGGTTTTGTGGGTTTGGATTTGATGGATTTAGGTATTTGTCGTTTCAAGAATTGGTGGTTGAAGGGTTTATAATCAAATGGTTTTAAAATTCATATCCTATATATTTTATATTTGCTAAACATTTTTCATATTGGTATCATTTATAGGAAACATGCCCGATTGTAGTTTATAAGAGTATTGGAAGTTTCGATATTAAAATATCGCAATTGTCGTAGTGACATAAGAAAGCGGATATCATTTTCGGTCGTCTGAATTTTCTGGTTTACGTATTATGTGGTTGTAATAATGAGCTTTATTTCAGAAATTTATAGCTTTAAATTTAATAGATTGGTCCATATTGAAGCTTATAGCAGGGAATTTTGACAATTTATTTATTATTTATCTCATATAGATACTTAATGAAAAACAGTGAAGTTAAATTTTCCAAAAAAAAATCGTAAGAAATGATTTCTTTATCCAATAATAAACATTTACCTCGTTTATTTTTTTTTATAAATTATGTCCCGGATCAGCAAAATCTGTGATCTACTTGTCATTTATCCCTATTTTTAGCCTTATAATAATTTCCAAATATTTGTAATTTATAACAAATAAACTCTTATCAGCTTAAGCCGTAAATTAGTGATGCCGATAATTTTTAAGGGGATTTTTCGGAGTTCTAAAATATGTTTATTTACTTTAGCAGGTACTCTTCGCAGATTGTACTTGTCTCAATTTATTGCAGTTTTATTTGTTCAAGATTATCTTTAGCAGAGCTATCTATCAATAATTATGATAATAATCAATATCTTGTCGTTTATTTCGACTACGCCTCGATATAGCAAATCATACATTTGGGCAATTCCGATCCACTTTAAGTGCCTGTTAGAAGCATTGTTTTGCAACTTATCAATTTTTTAAAATGATAAGGATTTATTAATAGTCGTTGACGGATGCTTTCCGGTATTTCTTCAAAAGGTATAGGTGCAAATATATTTGAATACTCACTTATAAACCCTGGTATGAAACACGCAGCGTTGGTCAGCATCGCCGCCTTGATCACGTCCAATTCCGGAAAAATGATGAAGACTAGGAGAGAACTCCCGATAGCTGGTAAAGTCTCCGTAATAAAAAGCCAAAAGAAATCCCAGAAAGTGGGATAACTCCAGGATTTGAAGCATATTATCCTTACGGATCGTAGGAAGGTACCCAGTTCTGGAACCATATACGCGAACATTACCAACCACATCCATACCACCCGTTCCTCAGTCGGTAGGGTCACTTGAAACCTTTGGTTTTCCTCTGAAAATTAGAATCGTGATACAACCTCAAATTTTGCTCTGGGCCTGAAAGATATCTTTCATTGAGGATGTTCTCATAAACCTACTCACCTATATTCAGGTTGCAATAGGGCCTGGTAATATTTTTCTTTATCTGCGAAGTCATAAACAGCAACGTTCCCTTTGATACAGCTGCTGTTCCCAACACAACAATGAAGGTAATAGTTACGGTGAAGCATTTTAAAATTCTCACTCCTGTGTCGATAAATTTCGACTCGGCTGTGGACCCGGTGTCGATTTTCCTGGGTTTGTTTCGAAAGGCGTCCCAGTTTTTTTGGCGCACCTCACTAAAATCAATGTTCAGTTGTAAATGTTTCTCTTAATTGCTAGAAATGTGGTAGTTTTGCTGAAGTTCCGCTTAATGACGTCACAACGTATATTTTAAATTTTTTAGGGTTCAAATGAGGTCGATATGAAAAAAGAAAGATCACGGATCTCATATTTTTTAACCTATTTTGATGTTGTTGTGTGAAAAAGTTCGTTCTATTGAAAAAAAAAAAATAAAAATAGGGGCGCGACTTTTGATACTGATGTATACTTACTTTTCAGGTTCGAGAAGTGGTTCTTTGTCCTCGTATATTTCTCTTCTTCTCATTTTAGTAATTTCACTTATCGTTTCATAGGTATTTCTATTCGATTTTACTTATAAAAAGCTAAAACTGGAAATAAAGTCGTGATTTTAGTGTGTTAGCTTATGAAATTAGTAACGCAAAGCGTTTTTTTTGTCGGATTATTTATTAATAATGACACTGAGAGAAATTTTTATTGAAATTGCAATTTTCTGCATATACAGCAGCAAGCAGGAATCACTTTTTTGTCGAAACATGAACCACTGTGGGATAGCCAATTTGTGCTATCATATTTTCTGTTAATTTGTTAATTTATCAATTATTTATGTTTTCTTAAGTTTATTTCTAATATTTATTGCTCTTATATTATTTACTTCGCGTTTATATCGCTATACTTATAGTCCAAGAGAATTAAGCTCAAAACCTTCGAGATATGGCTGTTGCTTGACGTAACTTAGATATTAGTAAAAATCGGTAGAAAATAATATATACAATGAAAATATAAGGTTGCGCCAAGAAAAAAAGTTGTGCTATTCGCAGAAAAAATTAAAAACTGCAAAAATACTCAAAAATCACGTGTTTTTCCTAACATTTTCCAATATAACTTCTTAAATATGCAGTTTACAGAAAAAACTATTACTGCTGAAATTGTTTGTTATGAAATTTGCTATAAGACACAATTGTTTTGAGACCTGCGTATTCAATATTTTTGTTGCTAGAAAGCCAAAACAGCGTAAGAAAGTGATGAAAATCGAGGTAATTTTGAAGCGTTCAACTGATAGGTAAGAAATTGTCCAATTCTACTATAAATGTACATGTAAGTACTTTAAAGGATTACAAAACGAAATTCCAAAACCCGATCGAAATCGGTCTGATAGTTTTGGTATGAGACAATTTGTTACTAAATTTCAGCGCGAAATGTCGTTATTTTTTTGCGTCAGTGCTGGGGTTAAAGTTAGGCATTTTAATTGGCGCTGATTTTTTTACACATACTTGGACTCTTTAACTATCATATAGAATCGTTATAATATTAATTTTCTTTTTTTTAATAATTTTTGGAGCGATTTTAAAAATTCGAAAAATTTTAACTTTATAAACAAATACTTTCGTGAAGCCGTTTTGCGGGTTGGAATATATACCAAAGTACTAAAAAATAGTTCTCGGAAAGACGCTTAACTTGAAAAAAAGAACGTTCAAATCGGTCACATAAGTTCCGAGATATCAAGTGTCAAAGTCAACAAGCGTTAGCTGCAAAACTATGCATAATGTAACAACAACAAAAATTGAATTTGGTAGGTTTTTTAAGAACTTTTCGTATGTGCTTTTATAAATATTATCGCACGTGTGCTTTTTATATGAAAATTCAATGAATATCGCCAAACCGACCATTTGAGCCGCAAAACCGGGGGGAGGGGATGAATTATAGAAATTGAAATCGCGTTCAAAAAGAGCGCGCGCGCTTCGGCGTTCAGTATCTCGGCTTCTATGGCTCCGATTTTGATGATTTTTTTTTAAATCGATGTAGAAAAATGAGAGGAATTCAATTATCAAGGTTTCATTAAAATATTATAAAGCCCTTTTCGGTCTATTACGACTAAAAATTTTCCACATTTCGTTGTTATACTGTATATTCATGTAAATAATAATATCGATGGTAGGATATAGGTACATAATCCACTGTTACTAGGTTTTAGTTTTAATAATTACATGGTAATAATGTTTAAATAAAATCTTGAAATCTTTATTTAATATGTAATTTATTTATTGTATTCATATAATATAGAAAAAAATATAGATACAAATAATTATTTATTTATTTTTACAAAACGTGTTTATTATACTTTCATAATTATCGTATTATTAAAGTTTTTCACTTTTTTACATCATTGGTATTTTCACTTATAATATCAGCATTTGAATAAGTATTGTTGTCCATTATTTTCAAATCAGTGCTTAACTAATTGTAAGTAGGTACCACTGTTAAATTAACAGCAAATGATGACTTATGGTTGGTTAATTTGATTTTTTAAATTTGCTAGCAATTTCATAGCCATCCTCGCAAGAAATTGGATCATTTTATTTATCACAAAAACCGTCAAAACAGAAAAATTAAAAGATAGGTATATGGAGATGTAATATAGATAGATATAGAGTAAATTTTTACAACAGATTTTGATTAAATATACGGGGTGTATAATTTAGAAAAACCAAGTTTTGGCGGTTCGGTCAATCAAATGCGACAATAAATATGAAATTGAAATAGGTCGAAGACCATTAGACCATTAGAGATGAATATAGGGAAGCTTTATAAAATTCCCCTAAAATTACGCGTAGAATCCAAATATGCAAAAATATATAGGATGTTCCATTTATAATAAGCAAATAGGTGGCGACTACCGGTATAACCGGAAGTACTACAACAATGGCATTATTTTATTTAAACTCTTTTTAAATAAAACTTCCAAAACCACCAGGTCCCAAATTTTCAAAATTCAAATCGAAGTAGTCTCCGAAATATTCTATTGAGCGGTCACCGTATGACAGCTTGTAGAAGAAAATTTTGAGAGCGAAAACAGCAACTATGCTGTAAAAAAGCGGAATACTTTAATAATGCAATGATACGTTTTATAAATATCAAATAAATAAATTACATATTAAATAAAAATTTCAAGGTTTTAAACATTATTACGAATTATTGAAACTAATAACCATTAACAATGGACTATGTATATCTACCATCGATATTATTATTTACATGAATATACAGCAACAATGAAATGTGTGAAATTTTAAGTAGTCGTAATAGGCTGATAGGGCTTTATAATATTTTAATGAAATCTTGATAATTGAATTCCTCTCATTTTGCTTTATCGATTAAAAAAAAATCATCAAAATCGGAGCCATAGAAGCCGAGATATTGAACGCCGAAGCGCGCGCGCTTTTTTTTAGAACGCGCGATTTCAATTTCTATAATTCATCCCCTCCCCTCGGTTTTGCGGCACAAATGGTCGGCTTGACAATATTCATTGAATTTTCATAAAAAAGCACACGTGCGATCATATTTATAAAAACACATACGGAAAGTTCTTGAAAAAACCTACCAAATTCAATTTTTATTGTTGTTACATTATACATAGTTTTGCAGCAAGCGCTTGTTAACTTTGACACTCTATATCTCGGAACTTATAGGACCGATTTGAACGTTCTTTTTTTCAAGTTAAGCGTCTTTCCGAGAACTGTTTTTTAGTACTTTGGTATATTTTCCAACCCGCAAAACCGCTTCACGAAAGTAATTGTTTATAAAGTCAAAATTTTTCTAACTTTTAAATTCGCTCCAAAAATTATTCAAAAAAAGAAAATTGATATTCTAACGATTCTATATGATTGTTACGGGGTCCAAGTATGTGTAAAAAAATCAGCGCCAATTAAAATGCCTAACTTTAACCCCAGCACTCACGTAAAAAAATAACGACATTTCGCGCTGAAATTTAGTAACAAATTGTCTCATACCAATACTATCAGACCGATTTGGATCGGGTTTTGGAATTTCGTTTTATAATCGTTTAAAGTACTTACATCTACATTTATAGTAGAATTGGACAATTTCTTGCCTGTCAGTTTGACACTTCCAAATTACCTCGATTTTCATCAATTTCTTACGTCGTTTTGGCTATTTAGCAACAAAAATATGATATGCGCAGGTATCAAAACAATTCTATCTTATAGCAAATTTCATAACAAACAATTTTACCAGTAATAGTTTTTTCTGTAAACTGCATATTTAAGTAGTTATGTTGGAAAATGTTAGAAAAAACACGTCATTTTTGAGTATTTTTGCAGTTTTTATTTTTTTCTGCAAATAGCACAACTTTTTTTCTTGGCGCAACCTTATATTTTCATTGTATATATTATTTTCGACCGATTTTTACTATTATCCAAGTTACGTCAAGCAACAGCCATGTCAATGTGTAATTCTCCTGGACTATTAAAGATGTTTGAAATTTGCTCAAAGTAATACACAAAGCAATATAATATTTGTATCACTTCTACATGGTGATACTACAAGTCAAAATAATAAAAACTAACTCAAATGTTATGCGATTTTCAATTGTTTTCAAAGTATGATCAATATTTCAATAAAAAAATAGATTTATTGGTATTTTTAGTCTATTAATAGCGTTCTTTGATTCAAAACATCATCACAATTGACCTCTAAACACTTTCTGCTTCGTCTCCGTAGGTTTGTAGCTCTCCTGGTTGCTACATATCTTTCTTTAATAAATGCTGCGTGTTAATGATACTTCAAATTGAACCAGCCCCATAAACAGTAATCTAGTGCTGTGAGGTCTGGAGATGTTGGAGGCCAACTAATAGGACCACCGGCCAATCCAACGCTCTGGAAATATTTCGTTCGAATGTAACTTGACTGGTCGAACGAAATGCGCGGCAGTTTCATCGTGCTTATATCGCATTCTCATGTTTATAGGAACATCTTCTACTGGTACTTGAAATTCGTTTTGTAAAAAAATTAAGTAGTGGTGTCCTGTGAGTCGATTCTCCAAAATGAAAGGGACTATTAACTAACTCGATCATACCATATAACACGTTTACCGAAAAACCATGTTGTTTTATTGTTTTTTTTTTGTGGAATGCCCAATTAAGTACCAATTTTTCGTGAGCTGGTAGTGGCATCATCTTCTATAAGACTCAGGTTTTGTTACTTCTTCTAAATCTTGTCAATGAGCTCGTCTACCACAGACAATATAGCTTCGCTCCAGACAACTACTGGAACAGGACATAAATTTCCGAATTGCCAATAGAGTACACAGCAGCAGAATTTTAGGAAGAATCAAATGCAGCGGCCCGCATTCCTACGCGTATCCTAGCAACATAAATAATAGTTTGGCAATGTTGTCAGGCGTACTTACGGATTTATTTTGTACACTTTTTTATCAATGCCTGTTTTTTGCGTTACTGTATTTATTTAAATGTATGATGTAGGTACTGATAAAAACGTTTTAAAGAA